GGGGCGGGGCCGGGCCTCGGGGGTGTGGGAGTGGGCCGGGCGGGAAGTGATGGGGTTTCCGGCTCCGAGAGCTGATGTGGCGGGTTCGTGGTGAGCAGGGATCGGCGATCCACGGTGACGACGATAAGACAGGCGCCGCCCCTCATCCAGCGGGCTGCCCGGCGCGGGGCTCCGCAAGTCCCGACCTTGACCGCTCGTAGCCGCCCTGCTCAGAGGAGGGGCCAAGGGAGGCCACACAGCAGAGGGCGAGCGCTGGGAGAGCCCAAGTGCCCAGCCACAGGCCACAGCCGGACTTGAGCTGCGTGGGGGGGGGGGGGGGGGGGACGGGGGGGGGGGGGGGGGGGGGGGGACCCGCTGCGCATCTGTGCCCCACCTGCTGCCTGGCCGAGGGAGGGCAGGGGTGCCCCAGACCGACCTGAGTGGCGCCAGGCCTGGCTGGCTGGGGAGGAGAAGCCCCTTGTCCTTTCGTTACTACAGGGCTGCGGAGCCCCTGAGCCTGCGCTGGCCTTGCCCAGGAGGGCATATAGGGCGGGACAGGCTGCAGCGCTTGGCCTCACCGCTACTCTCCTCTGCAGGAACACAGCCCACTGACAAGCAGCCAAGCTGTGGCGTGGCTGTGGAGACTGGCCCAGAGCTGATCGGCCCCTCGGGCTGCGGGCAGGCCCCTCTTAGAGGCGCTGCAACAGCCTGGCTGGTTCCCGTAGTCCCTCCTGCTACTGGAGCCCCCTCGTCCTTTTGGAGCCAAGCCCCCGCCCTGCCCCTGTTTCCTGGAGACAGAGGCTGCCTGAAGCTTCAGTGGGCAGCCCAGGGTAGACCCTTCAGCAGGAGAGGGGGGCAGGGGGAAGACCCGGAGGCCTTCACAAATTTCTGACCAACTGCGTCTACCAGTCTGCAACGCTCAGCTCCTTCCTGGTCCCAAAGACGGCCTGGCCCGTGGGTTTGCGCAGACAGGCTCTGTGTCCACCGGCACCCAGCTGGCTTTGATGGAGGTTTCCTTCCCCCACTGGCCGGTCCTACCCACCAGTGGGTCCTGCTCAGGACTGCTCCTTCCAGGCAGCTCTGCTGCTCAGCCTCACGCCCGGGCAGGGCAAGGCCCGAAACGATGTGACCAAGTGTGTGTTGTTCTGGGCAGGTGGGACGTAGGTCCACCCGGATTCAGCCTCAGTTTTCAACCCCAGGCGCTGCACCGGGTCCTCACGAAGAGGACTTGGGGTTGGAGTCAGATTGCACAACGGCCAGCAGGTGGCGCCATTGGCCCATCTGCTCCACCAGGTCAGTGGTAGAATTTTAGGGGATTAGGGAGTGAGTTTCACCCCAAAGAGTGAATATGGATCAGAATTCAAAGAGGTAGCAGACTGACTCTGATCTCCTCTGGCAGGAAGGTAGAGAGCCGTGTGGACCTGCGCCGGGCTTGAGGTGGCCGGCTGGAGTCCAGCCCTGGTGTGGGGCCGCCGTCCTCAGGCTGGGCCTGCGGTGGGGGTTGCTCCATTTTGAAACTGCGTGTGCTGCTTCCTGAGCCATTGGCACGCTGACCAGGGACACTGCCGGGCTGGTCTCTGACCCTACCAGCTGTGACCGCAACAGGCCCTTGGTCCCTTACAGAGAGCTCTCACATACGTTCTGCCTTAACCCCCAGACCTCTGTCTCTGCTCTGTGAAATGGGAACGCTGATAGAATCAGCTGGTGTTTATTAGCAGCCTGGGTCACAGGCCACCCTTGGAGCAGGAGTGTGACTCTCAGCCCGCAGTGTCCCATGTCTCTCCTCCGGGAGGCCTGCTCTGGCCCCTCACTGAGCCCTGCTGCATACCTCACCCCCGGGTCCCTGCCTCGTCTCCCACCTCCACCTAGCACCACCCAGCGGCCTAGTGGGCCAGCCAGTGGTCAGCTGGACAGCTTGTGTGTGTCCCTCTGCTTCACCGGGGAGGCCGGCTTCACCTGGCATAGCCTTCCTGCTCCGGTGGCCTGGCACACATAGGTGCTCAGGAAAACAGTGCCGGGGGGAGAGAAGGAGAAACCATGTGGGTCAGCTTGTTGCCCCCGTTCTCACTAAGGTGGTCTCAGCATGTGACTCCCTCCTCCAGTCCCCAGGGCTCAGGGTCCCCCCGTGAGGTGCCCGGTGGGGTGCACCCCTGTCCTGGGACTGGGAGTGGGGGTTCCCAGGCAGAGGTGTCAACCCAGGGGGCAGGAGGTTGGGGGACACAGGACGCTGGAGAAGGCTGTGTGTGTGTGTCCAGACGCCACACGCCTGGGTGCTGGGCCTGGGTCCCTGACTGGGCAGGCGCCCTGGGGGGCAGAGCCGAGGAGGGCACTGCGGCCTTTTGAGGGGAGCATCTTCTGGAACCCGGAGAACAGGTTCCTCCACCCCGTGGCTTCCCAGAGGGCTTGGCAGCCCAGGAATGAACCTCACTCCACCGGCTGGCATGGGTGTGCAGTGGCCATGGGGTGGGCAGGGGTGGGGGCAGCCTGCGAGGGGAGGGGAGGGCAGTACCTCCAGAAAGAGCCAGGGCTGTGCAACGCTGGGACTCCCGCCAGGCCCCTGTGCAGAGGCCTCCTGAGCCGAGGGGTGGTCCCATACAGTGCCCAGTCGGGGGGCTTGGGCTTGTCTGGGAGGTGATGTCAGTGATTCCGGGGCGCGGGTGGGTGGCTGGGGACCAGTGTGTCCTTGTGGTGGTCAGGGATAAGATTTTCTTGGCAGAACTGTGTGTCTGGCGGGAGCAGAGCCAACCTGGTGCTCTGGGGCTCGGGGCCAAAGTCAGGGTTCACAGGAGCCAGGACAGGAATCCGAACTTGGGGGCTGAGGAAGGAATGTGGCAGAGCTCAGAGAGGCTGTCCTTTGGTTAAAGCCGGCACCAGGTGAATCCCAGCTCTGTCTGGTCCCACATCTGTACCCTAATGGTTTTGCCTGTTGCTGGGTGGGGATGGGGTCTCCACGTCGGTGCGGCCATCATCCTGGGCTGAGCTGGTTGGTATAAGACACTGAGGGCCCAAGGAAGAGAGAATTCAGGAGGGCTTCCTGGACAAGGAGGCTTTGCACTGGCAGAAGGAGAGGGAGGACTCTATCCAGACCAGAGATGACGGGTCATCCTCTCGGCCTCCTGTGGGGCTGGAGGGAGAAAGAAAGTGTGTGTGGGGGGGAAGGCCAGGCCCCTGCAGGGTGGGGTGCCCAGAAGAGTGAGGACCCATGGACCATGGAGAGCCTGACAGGGAAGCCTCAGGGAGGCCACGGGCCGGGCAGGGTGTTGGGAGTGGCACCGGTCGCCCATGCACTCCCCTCACTCCAGCCAGGGGCGTGGCCTCCACCCGGGGTGCTGGGAGGTCAGGCCCTGTCCTGGGGCCATGTCCTGGGTGGGGCTGTGGGCAGGTGGCCACTTTCGAGGGACTGAGTGCTGGAGGCTCCTCGGAGACACTCTCCCGGGGTGCCCCTGTCCTCTGTCCTCATAGCAGCCTCTTCATCGTGGGGGCGGGGGGCGGGGCTGCCACGTCTGCACAGTGGTGCGACCCCCGGCGGGTCCCCACCTTTCCTGGGCCTCGGTTTCCTCTTCTGCCCGGGGAGGCAGTAGAGGTGCTCACCTCCCAGGGCTCTGGGAGCTGCAGGGCGCGTGTGCACGGTGCTGGCCGGCCTGGGCCCTGGGGGGCTGAGTGGCTTGGGGTCACTCGGGGGGCAGCAGGGGGTAAAAGCCTCCATCGGCAGAGCAGGGGTTTGTCTGTGGACTCGGTGTCGGTGCCGGTGCTGGGGGGGGTCAGTCTGGGGGCGCTCCGGACCGGCTCCCTGCTCTGTCCCCTGCGCAGGTGCTGGCCTGCAGCAGGGGCTCCCCCCTGCGGTAGGGGAGGGACTGCATGGCCGGGTGCCTGCAGGGGACCCAGGGCCGCGGCCCATCCTGCCCGTGTCTCTTCCAGGTCAGGGCTCTGGGAGCACTGCGCTCAGCATCAGTGCTGCATCGGTTGGTTTCTGAACGTGGGGTTTGCCATCTCCAAACTACAGACGTCAGCAGCGGCCAAGGGCAACAGCTCCTCCCCGCTCCCCTGGCCCAGCTCGGGGTGCACTCCGGTGAGCCAGAAAGAGGCGGATGGGGCATCTTAGCTTCAGAGTTGAAGAACCGAGGCTATGGAAAGCCTATGGCCTTCCCGGTCTCAGAGGTGAGAGTCTGGAAGCGACAGGGCCTGTGGGGCCTCGTGCGCATGCGGGACAGATGCTCCTGCCCAGTGGAGATGCCCGAGTGCAGCCCAGGGGTGGCCTGAGTGTGCCTGGGGTTCTCCTGTGAGTAGAGAGGCCAGTGGGCAGGGGCTGAGGTCTCTAGCAAAAGGCTCTTGGTACACCCCCCCCCCCCGCACACTCCTTGTGGTGGCCCGATTATTGGCTATAAACTGACAAACAGGTGTGACCTACCACACGTGTCACCAAAGGCCAGGGCCGAGGGGGGACCAGCTGGATTTGGTGGCTCTGGGCGTGTGGTGGGGCTGAACACCCTTACAGGTCAGCACCTGGTCCCTGCCTCACCACCCCCTGCAGCAGCGAACCTTCAGAGTCCCCCCAGTGCCTGGAGGACAGAGTTCTAGGTCTGACCTTGGCACTGGAGGCCCCATGGATATTATGGGCACCTTGAAAAGCAGGGACGCAGGAGCACAGGTGCCCTGTTAGGTGAACGCTGCCCCCGCCCGTGAGCATACCTTCAGGTACCGCCTTGTCCAGGACTGTCCCTCCAGTCTGCTCCCCCACTCCACATGCCTTCGCAGGCGTGAGCCCCCTCCATAGTCCTTTA